CAATTCAAGATGTGTAAAGAAATCTATGTAATTTCCTATCCAGTCACCTTAAAGTACCCGTGTTTTCTACAAAAATAAAAACAATAAGCTATTGTAAAGCTTTTTTTTCTTGTTTTCCGTGAAATGGGGTAACATAATTGCCTTAAACACATTTTATTTGTAAAAATTAAAATTATACAAAAATATATTTTTCAAGTAAGGTGGTTGCGAAATTGTGTTTTTATCTCAGATTTTTGTCATAGTAATAGGTATGTATTTATAAAAGAAAAACTTAGTGTTTCTAGCCCTTATAGTAATGTTTTTATGAAAATAATTGAAGATTGTTAGTTGCTTTATTTTAAATGTAAATTTTAGTAAGAAACATCAAGTTTATCACTTATAAACACAAATAAATTCTTATGACAGGAATCTGGGATAAAGACACAATTTCACAACCGCCTGCACGAAAAATTTTTGAAAATAATTTCTTTTTTTACACAAAAAAAATGAGTTTTTAGGTAATTATGTTTATTAAAATACACCCGTTATCACGGGAAAACAAGAAATAAAACCTTTGTAACAGTTATTTGTAGTCATTTTTGCAGAAAACACGGGTACTTTAAGATGACTGGATAGGAAATCACATCGTTTCTTATTACAACATGAGGTGAATCTTAAAATTGTTCCAAATAAACCTCATGTTAACTAATATGGGCTTAAAGCTTAATAAACATGGAAGTTTTTATAAAAGTGGGATAAACGTAGTACAGTTTAAGGGTGATAAAAAAAAATTACAAATAATTTATGATCTTTTTTAAAGAAAACTGAGCTGTGTTTGTTCACCCAATAGCCCTCTTTAAATAGTTTCAAAAATGACAAATTCTACTTTGGTTTAAAGTAAATTTTATCTAGTTTACTGTGGAGTAACGTTTAGCTACTTAACTTTAATATTTTTTATGGTATCGCTTCCTATTCAACAATAAATGTGACTCGCCTTAAAAAGCACAAATCTTAAATTTCCTACTTTTCTGCTGGAAATGGAGGTATCATTGATATGAACTGTTTTGTAGATCTTGATGTCTACTACTTTTAAATATCTCCTTCTACTTACGGGACACCCTGTGTATATATTTGTCAAGCTTAATATTAACTTTGTTTTTAAGAATCATAGATCCTTCAAATCTGGCGATATTATTAATAGACTTGTTGAGGTTTTGCAAGCTTTAAAAATTCCTTGAATCAAATAAATTTATTTTGGCAAATTCTATTGACAACAAAGTATATGTAAAGTACAAAGTATAAGTCCATGTATATGAAGTAATAGAAAAATTACATTTAAGTTTACAGAATCCTAATACCAGACAAAAACGACAAAAACCGCTCGACGTTTCCGATTAATTCAGCACTTACTAGACAAACGCTCTAAACTTCCAATTAATTACAAAAGACTCATATACATGACTATAATAAGACCTATTTGTTCTTACGGAGTTGAGCTATGGAGCTCCACTAAACCATCGAATTCCTCTCGCATCCAATCCTTACAAACCAAAATTCTTTCTTAAAATTCTCAATGCTCCCTACTTTGTTACAAATAATACCATCCATAATGACTTTAATATTTTTTATGTTTCAGATCTGGCCTAATCCAGATACCTGTCCTTCCATAATAAACTTCAGAATCATCCCAACCCTCTCGTTTCTAACCTTGCTTCCTCTTCAATTCCTGATAACCCTCCAAGGCGTCTGAAAAGAAGATGGCCCCGTGATCTCCTAATGTAGACATATTATTAGAGTGCTATTATTGGGTAGTTACTCAGTAAGTGTTTTCACGTCATTATATCCATATGTCCAAATTCAATTAATGTATTTCTTTAATACAGTTGTAAATATCATTGAGAAATAAAAAATAAAAAAAAGTTTAGAGAAACATTAGTTATTAATTTCGACTAAATATTAAATATTGTAATATTTACCTAATACAGTTGTAAATATAATGAATAAATACATTTTAAAAAAGGTTTTGTTGCTGTAATCTGTAGTTTACTTTTGTTTTCTACTGTAAACACATTTATCACATTTACCACCTTCAACACCCTCAGGAATTCTCTTCCCCTGTTATCCGGTATGCTTCTTCCTTATGTACATTCAAGAAACTCCCTCCCCCAATTCCAAACACCTGTTCACAATCCAGACATACCCTCGCTAACTACGGAATAAATCAGGAGAACAACGAGTTGTCTTAATATGTTTGTCAACGAACAATATTAAAAAACGGCCACACAGACTGCTAACATTTGTAGATGGAAAAATCAAGTAGTGTGGCCACTGCACTACACAATACTTAGCCAATATAAAATATTGAAAAAATATGAATAATATTCAAGAAACTAGTAGGCCCGTGCGAAAAATTAGCACAGCATATTGTTATCAAATGCCAAATTAATAAGAAAATGCAACTTATCAAAAGATTAAGACATCAAATGTTACACTATCGATAAATATAATCCACAAAGCAAACAAAAAGTAATTTAAATCTTCGTTTTTGTTTGGAACCAACATGTATACAAATTTCAGTTAGCTGTCTATTTGCTAAAAATTGTCCGATTGCGATGATTTTTTTTTCCTTTTGTAGGGAATTTAGTAATCTTTCATGGGCATATGGGCATAACCAGGGTCTTGCTGTACGCATCAAAATCTTTAAGATCCAATTTGTCCCGCATCGATCTACAGACCTACCACCGTTCCAGTATCGAAGCCTAGCAAAATGTTTGTACCTACTTTATTTATTTTAGAATAAAAACAACAGTGGAGAATACGATTCGCTAACCCCCCGTAAAATTCTGAATCCAACGGTACCCCATTCGTGGTATTTGAGCATGACAGGAGCATATATTTGGTACAAAACAAATTTCGAGCCTTACTGTAATAATGTATGTACGGATGTTTGTCATATGTGTAGCCGTAACGTTAAGTCTGGTGATGGTTCGATACCACAAAACCCTCTGTCAACATAAATATTAATTAATATTAACTAATTCCATGTTTTTGTAGTATCCTAATTAATATTATAGTACATTCACTGGTGGATTTAATTTCGAGGGAGGCTTCAAATTGAAAGATTTTTTTTTCATATATACAACAATAATTAATTTGAAAAAAAAGAAAGAAATTAACTACCTACATGAAATGATGTTTAAGTGATTGTTTAAATCCTATTAAACGTAATTACACAAACAATAATAGTTTAAGAGATATTTTTCAATATTTTTTTCTATAAAACATGGTTATATTTTATCGTTTTTTTTGGGGGGGGGGGGAGGGATCTTCAGCCCGAAAGCTACCCCTCCCGTAGATCCTCCTGTGAGTACCTTTAACACATTATCATAATATCGCTCTCATTTAAATATTAGTAAATTAATTTGAAATGGATTTAGTTCCATGTAAATTTTAAGTATGACGATGTATTTATTTATGATCAGTTAATGTATTATTCACTTCCGTAATTATAATTTGATAATTTCTGTGTACTATTGTTAATGTTTTTGTATAGTTAATATTAAGTGTTTTATATGTAATAAATTTAGACTTTATATTTTTTATTATTTATACTAGGTTTACTTATTACATAATAATGCTAATTCGTACATGAAATGCTAAACCTTCTGACGGATGGATTAATTTATTTGCTTAATATAACTTTATAAAATTTATTGTAATCAATAATATACAATATATATTTTTTTTAACGATCTATACCAGTTTCATCTGCAACTAATGTTAATGGAGCAATTTCATTTTTTTTTTCTCTTCTAAGCGCATTCATCACACAAGCTTCACTATTTTCCCTACTTTTAACAGAAATTATTGTTTGACAATACTAAGCTATGGCAAACAGTTTTTGATCAGCAATATTAGAGAGCACTGAAATTTTTACACTGATCTACCTTGTAAACCAACGACTTCCCGTCCTACAGTTTCCTTTAACAATACTCCAACTTGGAATCCTCATACTAGACTGAAACGACAAGAAACCGCTCGACGTTTCCGATTACTTCAGCACTTACTAGACAAACGCTCTAAACTTCCAATTAATTACAAAAGACTCATATACATGACTATAATAAGACCTATTTGTTCTTACGGAGTTGAGCTATGGAGCTCCACTAAACCATCGAATTCCTCTCGCATCCAATCCTTACAAACCAAAATTCTTTCTTAAAATTCTCAATGCTCCCTACTTTGTTACAAATAATACCATCCATAATGACTTTAATATTTTTTATGTTTCAGATCTGGCCCAATCCAGATACCTATCCTTCCATAATAAACTTCAGAATCATCCCAATCCTCTCGTTTCTAACCTTGCTTCCTCTTCAATTCCTGATAACCCTCCGAGGCGTCTGAAAAGAAGATGGCCCCGTGATCTCCTAATGTAGTCATATCACTAGGGTGCTACCATTGGGTAGTTACTCAGCAAGTGTATTCATGTCATTATATCAATTATGTCCAAATTTACTTGATGTATTTATGTAATACAGTTGTAAATGTCATAAAGAAAAAAAAAAAAAAAAAAAGATCTACCTTAAGCCAGTTTACATTGCTTTAGTTTATCAAATAAATCGTACTCAAATCTTTTCTTTGGTCAATTTTCAGGAAAATAAATATGGTTCAATTTTTGTTTTTGTTTCTTCATCAACATATGTAAAGATATAAAAAAATTCCTGAAATAGGTTGGAAAGTCTTGTGAGTGGACACACCAGATTTTTTTTTTATCGTTATCAACATCATCACGATTGTTGGGCAAAGAAATGCATCTATATCAACCTGTCTTGCCTCATTTAGAAGCGAAATTTACTTTTAGAGAGTTATTCGAAAAAAAATCCTACAAGTATGAAAAGCAAACTTCAAACAAAACTCATTGCCGTGCGATATAGAGGCGTTTAAGGATTAACATGTGAGAAGGGAAGGCAAAGTCTGATTAAAGGAAGGCTAAAATCCTTTAAGGTTTTAGCTAAAGACTAATGGAACTTAGCCGTGGAGGGAGGAATGAGGGGAGCGAAGGAGTCGGATTGTGAATCACAATAACGAAGGGTAGTCAGTTTAAACAGGGCTCTAATCTCCACAATACTCCCATGATTGCTCCCATTTTTTGCCTGCTGGGGGGAGGGAGGGAAAGAGGGGGGCTCAGGGGCAAAGTGACAAGGACACCTGATGGTGTTGTAGGAGCAAACAGGAGCCGCTCGCTATAACCTCGTTACCGAACCCTGGCTCCCCCAGCCGCTGCACCGCCTAATGCACTTAGCCTGTGTCATTGTAAGCTAACCTCCCTGTTAGCGAGGAGGGAAGCGGGACGATCACCACGGGGAACGATGGGCTTACGAGGTCTGCAGGGTTCGGAAGAAAATAGAGAAGAGCTGAAAAAAACAAAAAAAAAAACAGGAACACCTCTAAAGTCACCCAATACGTGCAATGAATGAAAAAAAAATCTGGTGTGTCCACTCACACGACTTTCCTACCTATTTTATTTTATTTTTATTATTATACATATTTGTGGGTCACAATAAATTTGCCATCTACCTTGGTATTCAGCAAATATGATATCAAGGAGAAGAAATGATAGCATAACAAAAAAAAAAAAAAAAAAAAAAAAAACAACAACAAAAAAACAGTAGTAAAATAACACATACATAATAACATACAAACTCAAAAAAAGATAATGCAGCAAGTAGCTCAATGCAATAAGTCTCTTGGCCAGCGCCTCAGCAGTCTTCTGGGCGGATTATATGGATTTGTGGCAGTAGATAGAGCTTGAGTAAGTGGATTGGAATTTAGAGTCAGTCTGTCATGAAAATTATTAAAGCGGTCAGTGGCAGTTGCTGCGATGAAAGGAGTGTTAAGGTCAGTGTGAAACGTGAGGTTTGAAACATAAAAGTGTGCGTCTACAATTTTCCGAAGAACTTTTGACTGGAATGACTGAATGAGTTTTATATTTGATTTCTTTGCTGTTCCCCATAGTTCGATCCCATATGTCCAAAGTGGCTTAATGAGGACTTTGTAAATAGGTAATTTATTAGTCACAGATAATTTAGAACGTCTGTCAAGTAGCCTAGAAAGAAGTCCGTATCGCTGATTAAGTTCTTTTCTTTTTTGTTTTATGTGGTATGTCCATGTCAGTCGTTTGTCCAAGTGGAGACCCAAATATCGTACAGTTTTTGAAGGTGGTAGAGAGATATTATTAAAGAACACTGGAGGACAAGAGTCATGTTTAAGTGTAAATGAAACAAATTGGCTCTTAGACTCGTTCATTTTTATTCTCCACCTTTTAGCCCAACAAGCTATGTCGTCTAGGTGTTCTTGAAGTACCTGAGAAGCCTTAGCTGCATCTTTGTTAGATGTTAATATTGCCGAGTCATCAGCAAATGTAGCCAGCAGTGTTTCAGAATGTTGTGGGATGTCTGAACAGTAAATGTTGAAAAGTGTTGGACCCAAGACACTGCCTTGAGGTACTCCTACCTATTTAAGAAAAGTTTTTATATCTTTACATTTTTAAAATCCTATTCACATCCACCACTCTTCAAAACCACTTGAACGATATTGCTGATTGGGCCAAAAGGTGGAAAATTAAAATGAATGAAAAAAAAAATGTGTACGTAGTATTCACTCTTAATCATACCCCTTCCCCCCAAATATATTTTAATGCCATTGAAATTCCTGCATCCGAGCTAATTAAATCTTTTGGTTTTTATCTCGACAAAAGAATAACTTGAAGGACACACATTAGAAAAAAACGTCTGGAATTAAACAGACGATAAGGTATTTTATCTAGGTTACTTGACAGACGTTCAAAATTATCTTTGACTAACAAACTAACCCTCTATAAAGTTTTACTAAAACCAATTTGGACTTATGGCATAGAACTATGGGACTCTGCTAAAACTTCTAATAATCCAGTCTTTCCAATCCAAAATTATACGAAGAATAGTTGACGCACCATTTTGTCACAAACGATAGATTACATACGGACTTGAACATCCCAACAATTTCAGACACTGCGAAAATAAACTACAACAATTTTCACCAAAGACTTACTTACAACACAAATCCTCTGACAGGAAACCTTAAAAGCACTAGAAACCCGTACAGCCCACCTCGACAATTACGTAGGCGGTGGCCAAGAGACCTGCTGAACTGAACTATTTCCTGGATTGTAATGGAACGCTGTGAAGCTGCAAAAAAAATTGCTCATTTCAAAGAAATTTGCATTTCGCAAATATAATTTTTTTATGTCCTATTTTATGTTATGTATTAATAAATAAATAAATATCTTTAAATATGTCGATGAAGAAACAAAAAAAGAATAGAACCAAATACATTTTCCTGAAAAGTGATCAAAAATAAGATTTGAGTACGGTTTATTTGATATACTAAAGCAATGTATACCGGCTTAAGGTAAATCAGTGTAAAAAATTCAATATTTCAAAATATTGCTGAGCAAAAACTTTTTGCCATATCTTAGTATTGTAAAACAATAATTTTTGTTAAAAGTAGAGGAAATAGTGAAGATTATGTGATGCGGGCAACAGATTTTCCTACTTTCACTTAGTTATCTTTATTCTCTCATTTCTGACACCAGGATATAAAACCGTAATCTTGCATTAGAAATTGAATAGCTGTAACTTAGTTAATAGTTGTCCAAAATGAACGATTTTTATATGGCTTTGTGGGGAATTTCATTACCATTCAAACGACAGGCTAAACGGCTTTTTTTAATTTTTCTTTTATAAGATTTTTCTTTTCTTTATAACTTTTTTTCCTGAATTTTTTTGGGAATTTAGTCTATATACGAAGATTGAAAGAACAATGATTAGAACATTATAGGAAAGTTTCATCGAAATCGTAAGAGCCGTATTTGCGTTACAGTCTACAGAAAAACATGTTTTTCATTTATTGCGCGCAAGCTATTGCGCATGGAGCACCAAATTTCTGTCACAGGCATCAGTAGTCAAAACCCTCCAAAATAAAAAAAGAAGCAACAAAATCGGTTCAGTAGTTCCCAAGAAAATCTTGGCACAGACAGACAGACGGACAGACAGACCAATGGCTAAAAATGTGTTTTTCGGATTCAGGGTGCTCTGAAACGTATAGATCCGTCGAAAACCGCATGTCGGAAATTTGACCCGATTACAATACTTTCCTTATCTAGTATAGGTATGAAAGTAAAAACGCTACCAATTATTACACAATGGTTTATTATTTTCAAAAAAATTATATATCAAAAGTATCATTACTTTGATAGTAACGTAAGGGAAAATAAATAAAAGTTGATTGCTAGGATTTTAAATAATTTTGTATTTCTTAATTGAATAACGTTTTGAAAACGTTCTATCAGAACTGAAAAATGGCAAGAACAAGACAGCTGAGCTTGAAAATGTAAACCAGAATTTAAAAGAAAGAATAAAACATTTAGAGAATAAAGATAAAAAAACTAATTTAGTATTATTTGATGTGTCTGAAAAGGACCACTCTAATACAGAAAATATATTAGGTGTTGTGAAACCAATATTTTTGAGTGTAGTGATTGAATTAAAAGAAAACTCAATGAATAACTGTTTAAAAAAAAAAAAAAAATTAGATTCGGTATAAAATCAAATGATAAAACGAGACCAATCTTAATAACTTTTAAGGAAGAAGATGGTCTGGGTGGCGGTCATAAATAGCCTAAATAGTGGTAAAACTATTTTATTAAAAGCCAACGTTTCGACCCGACTTTGCAGGTCTTCTTCAGGGCTAGAACGGACAAGATATAAACAGATAGAGTATTGTGGAAATTACATAATATTTAGACAAAAAATTACAAACAATGTGAATAAGCTTATTAAAATTATGAACAGTAAGTACACTAAAATATGAACAGAGTGAGCTAAGTAACACGATCCTAAACTGAAATAAATAGATGCTAATAATTGTTGTAGTGCAATATATAATATATATGCATGTGCATATATACATGTGCATATATACATAGTTTCAGTTTGTGTGATATAACATCTTCAGGATAATATAAAAAAACAAACAAAGGAAATAAGCTTTGCAGTAGATCTTGTAAAAAATATTTGGAAACCACATGTTTGAAATCGTCAGATTTCAACGAATTTATTTTTAGATTTTAGAGAATTTTGAAAACTTTTAAATGACTATATACAAAAAAAAAAAAAAAATTGTTTACTTTTGACTAATTCGGAAATCTAATTTTATGACCCCTTGCACTTTTTTTCCAGCTTCTATACGTTAAAGTACGTTATATAGATAAATTCAAAGGGTTTCGAAATAGAAAACTTTATTCAAGTTTCATTGAAATCAGTACATCCGTTCAGGCGCTACATCCTATACGACATAGGTCTTCCAAAAAGGAAACACTTTTCGGTGAAGTATGTTCTATACAGACATTTAAAGAGCATCGAGGAGAACACTTCAGCCTAGTTTCATTAAAATTGGTACTTTCGTTTAGGCGCTACAGCCTAAAGAAACACAGGATTTTCGGCCGCCATCTTGAAAGGAAAGGGCGGTGAGTAACGTCGAGGTAGGAAGATCTTCAGGAAAACTCTGACTTTGATTCCAAAATTGAAAAAAAAAATCGGTCCTGTAGTCTCGGAGAAAACGCGAGGACGGTGGACGTCGGACGAAAAATTTTTTTTATTCGATTTTTTTCATCAAATGTGACTATTTTTCCCACATGGAGGAGAGGAAGATTATTATGTAATTTTAGACTGTTAAATATATTCTCCTAAGATCAACATTTTTTACCATTGACAGTCTATTATATTTTTACAACTTTATTTACAGAATAGCTTTCGGTTTCTGTGCACCATATCCATCTCTATAATTGTAACACGTAAATCAGAAAAAAATTAATAAATAAAACAGAAAGTGACCCACATCTCACAAGACTATTCACATATAAAAACCAAAAATTAAAATAATAGCGAATAAAATAAGGTAGGGTAAGTTTAGTTGCCAAATAGTTGAGATAATATAGAGAATGCCAACAGTAAACCTTCAACACTCAGGAAGATGTTGTCCGACTATACCGAAGACAGTATATAAAAATTTTACTGTGGGTGATAAATATTCAGGACGCATTCATTATTAAGTTTTTATTAGTGCCGACGTTTTAACCAGAACATGTGGGTCATCATCAGGGCGTGGTTCGAGCACTGAAGGTGTTCAAGTACTTTAGTAGTCAGTAGTCAGTACTTAGTCAATACCTTCAGTATCCGAAATATGTTTGGGTTAAACCGTTGACACTAATAAAAACTTAATAATGACTGCGTCCTGAATATTTATCACCCATGATATCTAGAACAGTCGTTCTAGCTTCCTCCAACAATTTTATTAAATTATTAATTCATTTAAACACAAAATTAACCTAAAATCCTTTCAGGGTTGGCATCAGACGAAGAAAAATAACACTGTTCTAGTCTTTTATGTTTTTTAAATAGACAAAAATAGAAAAAGGCATGATGTGATAATATTGAATGACAATTAAAAATTATGTAATACATGAATTGTTTGAGTCATTAATTAATTTTTCCTAATTGATGTGTTATAATTATTGAGATGAGTATGGTGCACGGGCACTGAAAGCTATTCTACAAATAATGTCAAAATATAATAGAGACTGCCAATGGTAAAAAATGTTGATCTTAGGAAAAGAAGATTTTCAAAATGAGGGGTCGATCATTGGATTTGATGAATATGGACTACTGACAAAACAATAAATACCCTTGAGAATTAATATATAAAATTGCGGTTTGTGTGTTTTTCCAATTCACTATTTATAAATCACAGCCATTATTTACTCTAAAGGGTTCATATTATTTCCAGTATTTGTAAAAATAAAAAAGCAGAAAAAAAAAGAAGAGAGAAAAGTAAATCTGACCATTCGAATCGGGGAATAATTCTTTTATCTTCATTGTGGGAGTTTTGTGAAGAGCTGCCGGTGCCATGGTAACGTTAAGAAGCTTAGCGGGCCAATTACCGTATCGTCAGTTCGTTCGATATCGTTCGTTCGAGGATATATCTTCTAAGTGCCCTTATTATTTCTATATACCTCCATGCCCGCCTCTTCAGCTCACTCAAAACGACTCGTTCATTTTTAGAATCCCTCCCTCAAATATTACAAGAGAATAAAACTTGCCAGAAATGGAGAACATGTGTGATTATTCGCAATGTAAAACATTTTCTGAAATATAATGTTGTTTTTTTTTTTGTTTGTTTTTTTCAAACAGCGTTATATTTGTTCAATAATTAATCTTAAGATATTATTAGAAGATTCCCAACCTTAATTGGGAATTTAAATAAATTTGTAATTATAATAAACAGCCTTATTTAGGATATTAATTTTTTTTGTGATATATGATTATTTTTTTATTAAAATTATTTTTAATCTAACGACTGTTAAAAAAAGACTTTTTATTACAATTTTAAAACATTTAAAAATTATTTTTTAAAGTTTCGGCTCCATGAGGCATTTTAGAAAAACTCTTTCTTCTTATAAATAAACAAACAAAACAATAGTCATATTAAAAACATTATTAATTAAAAAAATCTTAAAATATATCGGTATATAGAAAAATGATAATGAATAGATTTTTAGTAATAATGTTTTTAATATGACTAATATTTTGTTTGCTTTTTTTTTTTTTAAGAAAAGGAATTTTTTTGTAAATGGCTGTTGGAGCCGAAACATTAAAAAATAATAAATTATAAATATTGTAAAAATGTTTTGAAACTGTAATAAAAGACTATTAGATTAAAAAGGATTTTTATAAAAAAAATAATCATAAATAGATTAAATATAATAAATTTATAATTTCTTATAGCCGATAAAAATATGATTATAGTATTTTCTGAAATATAATGTTGTTTTTTTTTTCATTTTTCAAACAGCGTTATATTTGTTCAATAATTGATCTGAAGATATTGTTAGAAGATTCCCAACCTTAATTGGGAACTTAAATAAGTTTTTAATTATGATAAACAACCTTTTTAGGTTCTTCATATTTTTGTGAAATTTTTTAACAATTATTATATTTAATCTATATATGATTATTTTTTTATAAAAATCCCCTTTAATCTCACAGTCTTTTATTCCAAATTTTTACAAATATTTTTACAATTTTATATTACAAATTTTTTTTAACGTTTTAACTCCAAGAGCCATTTTCAAAAAAAGTCTTTTCTTTACAAAAACATTTCTTCTGTTCATTTATCCTAATTTTGGTGTCTTGACGTTTTATTTTTATATAAAATAGGCAAATTAACACCAAACATTTTATTGATACGCTATTTAATTCGACGTTTCGACCATACTAAAGGTTATTTTCAAGTCTTGATGAGTCCTCCGTTATATATTCATCATTAATGTCGCAAATAATATCTTCAGTGAACATTAAATTGTCATGATCTATAGGGGTTTCACCTACGTCATTTCTGGAGGGACTGGAAGGATTTGGAGGCCCTCCAGAAATGACGTAAACCGAAAAAATACATATAGAATTTTATTATATACTAAAATTATGTTTCCCGTCTTTAATTGTGCTGTAATTTTCAAGAGAATTGATTATTGCTTAACAAAAAAATTGTTTTTGTCAAATTAAGTAAGAATTAAATTATACCAATTTTAATTTTTTATTTCTTCGTCATAACTACTAAAAACTATTCATTTCATATAAGAAGTTTTTTTAATTAACACTAGAGTGCAAAAATGATAAGAAAGTTTGATACGAAATTATATTTTGTATACTGTTATGTTTTTTTACAAGTAAAGCGATATGTTTTTCAGAATAAAATTTAAGAAACAATTACCAAATTATCACTAAAATTTGAAGAAAATTGTTACCTGAGAGCTTGAAGGGTATCGAATCCGTCCGTTGAGGGTCGATGGCAGAATGGAACGGGAAAGGTCTTGGACCGAAGTGGAAAGGATGGAACGACTGGTGCCCTAAAAAGAAAGGATTACAAATTATAATAAATTAATAATAACAACAGTATTATTAAAGAAAATTTTTGATCTATATATAAATGATGGTATAACATATAGGTAATAATAAAAATAATATAGCCTAAAAGGCGAGGAAGGAAAAAAAAAAGTTAACAAATATATGTATATATAATTTGTACCCAGAAGGACACATTTCTGCATTTGTTTAGGGGAGCCTATTTTACAAAATTTTGAGCAATTAAAATTTGTTTCTTAGTTAATAAATTATTAAATAAAAAAAGTTAGATATGGAATTCTCGTATATACCTCCGGGGGACAGATATATAGTGTAGAAAACAATAACAAAGAAAGTTTTCTATTTTACTTACTATTACTAATATATTATATAATACTATTATACTATATTAATAATAATATCATATTATTGATAATTCCATACTTGTCTTCGACCTTGGTTCCCTGGGTCCATCCACTGTAACCTTGATGGCTTTATTGTAGGTGGCGATCTGCGGCGGGCAGGAGTTAACGATTATCGAAAGGGTGAAGCTCTTCCCTGAAAACAAATATTTATTTAATTATGTAATAATTAATATATTATCTATATATATAAAAATGAATGTATGTATGTCTGACAACTTTGGGAAGCTGTTCCATACACTCCTGGGAAGGTTTCTGGCATAGCACTTATGTCTTACGATAATTTCATATATATGTAAAAAAAATAAAATTGTAAATGTTTTTCTGTTCATAGCCGCAAAAAAATGTTTCACTATAAACTGTAGCGCCAAAACGGCTTTACCGATTTTAACGAAACTTGGCTAAAGTCTTCCCCTTGAAACACTTTTAATTTATGTCCATATCATACTTTCCCGAAAACAAGCTGAAAAATGTTACGATGAATTCAATATTTTATTTGACGATAACTAAAAAAGTACAGAATTTTCGATTTATATGAAAAATTTCTTAATTGTTGACAAAATATAAAAAAAAATCATTGAAATCGAACGGTTCGTTGCAGTTATATAATTTTAAACATTTTCTGCTTTCTCTTCGGAAAAAGTAATTTCCTTTTGCTTCCTCACTACCGAAGGTAGGCAAGCATTTTGTTAATATTTTTATTGTTTAATCGAAAATTTTATAATTACATCAGTAATTGAAATTATCATTTATCATTATGTAGGTCAATACTATTATACGTTCTTTATATTATTTTTTTATTTTAGTTTTATAAGTTCAACTCAGACTGTTTCTGATTATGAATGACTGCGTATTCATTCAGATGGTTATGAATGTTCAATTTGAATCATGAGAAAAAAAATCATTAGAATTAGTTTAAATTGAAGCCATTTTACAGACAATTTTTTTTCCCAACTTTTTAAAAATGACAGATGTCCTTTGCTATTAATCTACTCATATGTGCTTTCTATTTTCTTTCTTTTTCATTTTGCCATGCTAAGCCACAGCAGCGTATGGCCGAGTAAAGCTAGTTTATTTATATAAAAATGAAAGTGGGTTAACGCGTGTTGCACAGCACCATTGCCCGGCAACCTGATAACCTAAGTTATGAATGATAACATTGTTACGAGTTCGCGCCCCGAAGTCGAAGATGCCTTTTAACTCTGGCATTAATCCTCCGCCCTCACCCCCTGGCTCGGGAAAACCCCGTATAGTTTAAAAGGCGAGGAAGTGGACGACCGAAAATAAAGAAAACAAAAAATTATAAATACATAAATTAGGGTGAACGCACCAGAAATTGCCAGGTTGGACTTTGAATGCAAATAATAAGCTTCTTTGTTGATTTAAAGGTTCCAGTTTTTTTCTAGACTGAAGAATAATGCACTTAAACAAATTTTAAAATGCCTATCATTGTTGTTTCTATAGTGCTCTTGAGATCAGTGTATTTCATACCTTCCTACTAAACATTTTGTTACGAGTAAGTGAACATTTATCCTATCTTATCTTTATTGTCATCTTTATAGGTAATTAAAGATTATATAATTTTTCTGAGGTATGTCCATTATTGGTACCGAGCCCCTATCCATTACTAAAACAATTAAATTTCGGGACGTCCATCTCTAGTGCAAAACGATGTTTTTTTTAAACGGAGATTATACCCTCATAATTGAATATTTATTCAATTTTAAAGTTTTAAATAGAAAAAGGAGACCCTAGAGATTCTAAACGTCAAACGTAGAAGTTTATAATTATAATAATTACAGCGTCATGAGTCAAAAAAGACAAAAATTTCCTTAGCTATGCCCATGAGTGGTGGGCTTACCCCACATTGAACATAAACTTAATTTTAAATACAGAAAAAAAAGTGATTTTATTCAGATTTTGAAATGAAAATTAATTTTTAATTTTCAGCTAGTATGGGAGAGAAATGTTTATTTACTTCATTTTTATTTATTTTTTTATTTTTTTTAATATCGTAACTATAACTTTTTCTTTTAAACATGGGGAGTAAAGTTTTTTTTTTTAAAGAACTTTTATTTAAAGTTCTTTCGAAACTGTTTCTTTTACACCAAAAAGTTAATTTATCTTTATGAAAGGAAATATAAAGAATCGGGAAACTCTTTCAACAACTATATAGAAACAAAAAATATTACAATTATATATGAAATATATAAGGAGTATTCATGTAGCCAGTGATATGTATTATAAACATCTTAACTGTGTCGATGAATGTTTATTCGAGAAAGTTATTTAATATTAAATATTTAATAGTTGACCGTTGCATTATAAAGGCAGAAGATGGTCAGGGGTTGCGGTCATAAATAGGCTAAATAGTGGTAAAACTATTTTATTGAAAGCCGACGTTTCGACCCGACTTTGGAGGTCTTCATCAGGGCTAGAACGGACAAGATACAAAAAGATAGAGAATTGTGGCAGTTACACAATATTTTGACATAATTTATAAACTATGTGAATAAGCTTATTAAAATTATAAACAGTAAGTACAATAAAACATGAATAAAGTAAGCTGAGTAACAAGATCCTAAACTGATCAGTTATTTTGTCCTTCGTTTTCCATATTCCTCCCGTTTAAAAAATAAATGTCTTCCATATTTTTCTTGCATTGCTTTCCGCTTAAAACAGAAGTAGTAAACAGATGATGAAAACCTTGTGATAACCTTCCCCACACATTGGCGACATTAACACAAGATTCAACAGATTTAAGGACTTGTTAAAATCGAGTGCATCACCCACTATATTTAACACACTAATATTAAATAACTTTCTCGACTAAGCATTTACCGACAAAATGAAGATGTTTACAATTAAGAAGTGCATTTTATTCCGAAAAAGTCAAAACTTATAATTTCGTGCAATGCTAAATTTAAATATGTTATTCTTCAAATCGTAAAAGAAATAGATAATTGGATTTTAAAATTAATTATTAAGTTAAGTGAACGAACATAATATACAAGAACATGGAAATCAGGTCTCTAATTTTAGCAAACAACGCTTTACTACGATAGCACTAGTGTTCGCTCACTTAAGAATAACTCCAACATTTTAGCAACATAACACATTAAGTATTTATCACAAGCTACGTGAATACATCTAGGGCAAATGTAACCTTTACAATATAGTTTTCAACTCATTAACATGTAATAAGGTTTGTACGTCCAAAACAGAGCACAAATAGGATTAGATTTGAAGCTAGAACAATTAGGAGAGTCATGTCTGAATCTCAGATGATATGCCACAATAGTCGAATGGTTGATTTTTACAACAAACAGCAAGTCTGGGATGTTTGTTTCAGAGAATTTTCCTTATCACTTACCTTTAAAGATAGGTTTGAATTTTTTATTTATTCATCTTTAGTTTGCCGTTTCCTTGTTTAAAACTGTGGAGAATTTATTTATTATTTTTTAAAAAATATTTATACCCAAAACCTGGGTGTCTAGTTTTTTTTTCTGTTGGCATTATAGACTATGTAGATCTTTTGTCGCCTTAGCAAGCCTGCTCCATCTCTGCTTGTCTTGGGCTATTGCATCTTTGTTGATTATATCTATCCATCTGCTTTTTAGCCTTCCACGTTGTCTTTTGAATTCTAATGAGACATTCATAGTTACTTAGAGACTTCCGGATGGATTGCTACGAGCTACATGTCTCGCCAATCTTAACCTCTGTGCTTTCATATTATGGGATATTGATTGACCAGTTTTTTTAATCAATTCTATATTGGTCCTTCTCCTTCATGTGTTAGTACTCTGATCCCAGATCGCTCCGGTTTTTCTGTAGAGGATTTATCTCTCAAATCTTTCTATAACTTTTTTCTAGAGTGCTGGTTAGTATCCAGGTCCCACAGCCATATATTAGAACTGGCTTTATTGTGGCATTGTACAACCTTAATTTGAGATTTTTCGGGATTTCAATACCTTCGATCGGGAGATGAAAACTCTAGTTGCGCTAGTTATACGCTGGGTGTCCACTACTACAACAAAATACGCTGTTAGAATTCCCAAAAGTTTTTCATAAATAATAAACTAATTGACTGTTTTGAAAAAAAAAAAATGGTAAACTACTGAATTTCCGGCAATTAAAAAAATTTACAATGATCCATCGTCAGAACTTAAGTTGTGATTCACATACAAATGTTGTAAAATTCTCTTAAAGCGTTTAAGAGTAATCACTATCACCGTTACACTTATCTTATATGTCATGACTGGCCATATAGAGAAACTACTCATTGGTAGCTCTCCAATGACAGTTATATATTAGACGATCCCGAGGCCATCTTTTTTTTCACATTACTAGGAGGACCATTAGTGTTGCCCACATGCTAGATTGTGACGAGTCTTGGTCTTGCAAACTCAGTCTTGGTCATGGTCTTGGTCTTGCGCTAGAGTCTAGCAACAGCCTTGCAGTTACTTATTAGCTTATTACTAGGATCTTGAGTAATCGAGTATATAGAAATTAGTGTTGACCAAATGCAAGTCCGAGAAAAGTCTTGGTCTTGCAAACTCAGACTTGGTCTTGGTCTCGTAACAATCTTGCAGTTACTTATTAGCTTATTACTATAGAGATATTATTGAATTTTTTTTAAATAGGAGAAACCTAACTAAGCCCGAATGAAAAATTATAGGAGTTAAATACAGAAGTATATTGGATATACCAATTATTAACACTAATCATACCAAGACTTAATATATACCTATTTCTACCATAGCGGGTCAAATGACCCGACTTTATGTTTCATGCTTGAATGTATGAAATATGGATGTTAGGAAGGAAATAAAAATATAAATTAAATTTATTATGATTAAACAAAATAATATGTTGAGCATTTCTATTACAAAAGCAAAAAATAAAAACTTTTAATTCATAGTTCATCGCAGTGGTGCTCTTCCAGGTGTGCCACCTACTTGCATTTGTTGACAAACAGATCCATCATTCGCAACATTTTCTTCATTTATTTCTACTTCACTTTCTTCCGAACTTGTGAGTAATCTTATTCTTTTTCGGCCACTACATACATTCACAATATTTTCCTCTTCATCGTCAGTATCTGTAGAATCAAACTCATTTTTATTTGCAACCG